TCAAAAAACTTGTTAACTCAAAACACAGTAGCCAAACTTCACAACAAAAAAACTAGTAAGCCATCAAATAACCAAAAAAACCTGCTAAGCTTTCATCAAGACAACAAATACAGTAACCATCATACAGTAGCAAAGTCTCAAACAACAAAAACTTGTAACCAGTCTCAAACAAAAACCACAAAGCCTCAAAACTCACAAAGCCTGTAACCTGATAAAACTCAAACATAACTATCATAAAAATCCCAAAACCAGAAGAACAATAACCAGCATCACCATCATTCAAAGGAAATAGAAGAGATTACCGACAAACCAGAAAAGCAACGCGCTCATCCTCATCTCTTCGCCTCGTGAAGCTTCTGCTACCATTGAACACTGTCTCGCCTCTCCCTTTCTATTTCGCAAAAGGAAAATTGTAAAACTTCAACATGTATGGTTTCTTCCTCTTTCCCAAATCTTCCATGAGCATATAACTTCTGCATTTAAGATGGCCAAACCTTAATTAACAGAAAAACGTAACAAGTTAGGATAATCGTTGGAAACTTGTAAGCTTTTTTTGAAAATAACAGAATCTTAACTTTTTCAAGAAAATCGTTAGAACTTGATAAGGGAGGCGAGAATGACTGTATTCCGGCAACAGAGAGTTAGGGGAGGTCAAGGATGAACTAGTTTTGGATCCTTTAGGTTCAAATCCGATTTCAAAACTTAGGGTTTTCAAAAATGCAAATCACGGTGAGATAAGGAGGTAGAAGAGGGTGATTCGGTCATGAGGTTAAACAGGGATGGTTAGTGAGAGCATTTAGAGGTTTCAGCAAGATGAACAGAGATGGGCGAAGGAGATGAATTAGCGGCGCCATGAGTGACAAAGAGTTCCAAGAACCCTAATCTTGTTTTGGTCCCTTAATCAATAACTAAGCTGGGTTTAGAAGCTTGGGCTTGGTTTTTTTTGTTTTGATATTAAAGCCCATGCGTTTTACCGGCCATACCCCCCCCCCCCCCCCCCCTTTGGTTTGTTTTTTGTAACAGCAAGAATAACATTTTTTTCTTTTGGGCCTCATCTCTAAACCCAACTTAAGCCCATGCGTTTTTTAATTTGTTTTCTTCTTACATTCTTTTTTTTGTTATGCAAATTGCTAATATAACTTAAAATACATTTTTATTAATCTGATTTAGGTTTTGTAATTAATTTTTATCATTTTCTTTCTTTAATAAATTTTTTTTTAGATTTTAATTGACATAATAAAACACCAAAAAAAAAATTAGTTTGTTTTCTTTCTTTAGATTTTACTTAAGTAATTGAAATACAAAAATAAAGAATATAATTTAATCAATTATTTTATTTTCTAGAATAGGTTTTACTTTTCTCTTTTCAAGTTAATACTAAACATTTCATTTCCATATTTTGTTGATTTTATTTTCATGGATTATCACAGCTTTAATTAAATCGCACAAAATTCGATTTGGTTGTATTGTTTGCTATTTGGATTTTCCTATCTCATTTGATTCATCCCCATTTGTAAAAATTGTACCCCTATTCCCGAGTATTTTGTAATAGCGTAGAATTTCAATTCCCGCAATTTACTGTTTTTCCATATACTGTATAGTAATTAGGCGTGTATGGCAAGATTCAAAAAATCAATCGCTAGATGACCTAATCAAAGAATAAAATAACTTGAAACCAACACACTTTTTCACACGCGCACCTCTAGGGTAACCTCGCTCGTAGCCTCAGAAATACAATCATGTACCTCGAATATGGGACGCTCTAGCAATGATCCTCCGATAAAAAAGATCGTAGTCCCTCGATGACCCTCGATGTTGCCTTCGATAAAACGATCTCGTCCATTACAAAAATAGCTAAAGCGTCTCATAAGTTGCTTTCGATGATTGTAAAATTGACTCGCGCATGTCCCTTCACATCCAACGGTGGGGCTTCTTACCAAATCAATGGTAAGATAGCACCATTAAGAGGAGGAAGAAAAGAACAATTTAAGACCTTTCGAGTAGATAGATTCTCTCTTAGTTACTCGCTTGCTCACGATAAAAAATTTTACACCTACACTTTCATTTCAAAACATTTTCAAAAAGACAAAACATTTTGTATACGTTCTTATAGAGACGAGAACCATTGCAAAACATCTTTTCAAAACACTTTCCGAAACATGATTCACAAACACATCTTTGAACCACTTTTCGAAACAAAACTTTGTACGCGTTCTTATAGAGACGAGAACCATTACAAAGATATTTTCTTCAAAATACTTTCATGACCCACGCCACAAGCACACTGTCAAATGAAAGCAAGTGATCTAAACGAGTAACTAAGAGCCCATGGAAAACCATGGATGAAAAGGGTTCTAATACCTTCCCTTTTCATAATCTACCCCCCGAACCCGAGAAATAATCTCGAAAGGTCTTTCCTGTGCTTTTTTACCTTTCCTTTTGGATAAAAGAAAAGTCAGTGGCGACTCTTGCTATCCGCACAAATGCGATCGTAACGCAAAACATCAAGTCAGTTCTCCTACCGTATCACAATGGTTTTGTAAGAACGTCAGCAAGCTGATTTCTAGTGTCAACGTGTTCAAAAACAACATCCCCCTTTTTGAACATGATCTCTAAGAAAATGGTGTCTGGTCTCAATGTATTTAGTTTGTGAATGGAGTTCCAGATTCTTAGTGAGGCTTATAGCACTTAATCAGAATGCAACTAAGTTTTAAATCATAATTAGGGATGGCAGGTAGACCCAAACCCGCGGGGCCCACCCGCACCCGAACCCGAGTCAACGGGTGAAAACCCGAGTTGGCTAGGTTCGGGTTCGGGTTCGGGTTCGGGTGCCACCCGATATTTCAGGTGCGGGTTTGGGATAACTTAAACCCGCACCCAAAACCCGAAACCGAACCCGCTTAGGCATTAAATTACACAACTACCCCTAAATATATATAATTCAATAATTGTTAAAATATAGGGTTTCCTTTCCTTAACAAATTCACTTCACCCCTGTGACCCATTCCTCTCATTCACTTCACACGTGACCCACTCCAGACCTTTACTTCAGTACTTCACAGTTCCATGCCTTCACGGACTCCACTCACAGGCACGACGATGGCTACAACCTCCTCCGTCTCCTTCACTCATGCGACCAGTCCTTCACTCACACGGTTCATTTCTTCTTCTTAAGACTTGATATACCATTAAATCTTTTAATCGGTTCTGCAATTGTTGTTTACGAGATTCATTTGGAATTTCATGAGATTCAATTGATGTTTATGCTAGTTTCAAGGTTGTTCTGCTTTTTAATCTTGTGCTTGTTTGAATTAGTAAACTTGTTGTGATTGAAAGAAGCAAAATCTATGACATAACTTGTTGTGACTGAATTAAATTGTGTTGCTATGATTGAATTAGTTTTAGTTTTAATTTGTGTTTCTGACAAAATGATGAACCAGTTACTCTTTGGTCAAAAACTCAAAGCTTCAAAAGCTTATCTGAAATCCTTGTTCAACATGAACCCGTTCAAAGTGTTCGACTCTCACAGCCTGTCAACAACAACAAAAAAAGTGAAGATTAGCTTCAATACTCATAATAAAGCATCAGTTACTCTGATAATCATAAGAGATAGATTAACCATATCCCAAAACCTACCAAGTACCAACTAAATATATTAGTTTGAATATTATAAAACAGACATCAAAACCATCAGTGATATAAGTACTGCAGAGATTTATTTTTTAAAAAAATATATATATGAAAATGCGGAATAGAGAAAGTCCAAGTAACTTTAACTATTTTTATTCATTAACAAATTCAAAAAAATAAAAAATAAAATGGAAGAGATTGTAGACTAACAAGCTCAAAAAATGTAGCATATGTCAAAAAGGCTCAAAAGTACAATTGTTAAATTATAATAACTAATAAGTCATTCTATATTAACAGTGTGTGTGCGACCAAACTACCCAATAGTGTAGCTAACTAATGAATGGCTAATAAGTTTATTTCTAATGTGGTTGGAGCACACAGTTTAACGAACCATGTTAAGCACTGCAAAAAAAAATCCCCTTGAATTTATATTATCTAATGGAACGTCAGGAAATTCCGAGAACAGTTTGGGCGAGGGGGGGAATAGAACGAGTTTAGGATGTACATATGAAAGAATGAGTTCCCTACAGTATAAGTTGATAACGTGTAACATTCTTGTAAGTTTGTAATTTTTGTTATCCTGGTTTACTATTGAGTTATCTTATTTGAACTTAGCAAAGTTGGTCATTTGGAATCACTCAATTGCCTAAACATGGTTTGGTTCCAGTTTGTGAGTTTCCAACATAGAATGGATTTCAAGTGTTTCATATTCAAAACATGACAAAGAGGTTTATTATCAGATAGATAGCATATTCAAAACTTTGAATTTATCTTATTAGAAGTTAAAAGTGAATGGTGCACTTTAAAAGAGGAAACATGGAGCTATAACAGTTAGTCCAAAACTCAAGTTCCTAGTTTGTTACAAATGTGCATGTATTTTTATCACATTATCAAAGGTTACTTATATTTTAAAGTACACTTCCTAACTTTAGAGGAACTTAAACTTAATGCAAACTTCTTAACTGTTATTCTGAATATTCCATCTGCTTTACTGTAGTAGTGATCAAGTGGGCTTTAATGTTTTCTAAAGCTGTAATGTTACAAATTCAAGTGTGCTTTAATGTTTTCATATTATCTGCTTTACTGTAGTAGTAGAGGAACTTAAAGTAGTTTAAGTATCCCTTTAATGTTTTCTAAATATGTAATGTACAAATTTAAGTGGGATTTTTCTTTAGTGAGAATTGATTTCATTTTACATTCATTAAAAATTAATAAATCAATTGATTTCATTTTATACTCTATTGATATTTAGTTTAACAGATAGATAATGGTAGTATTTGTAAAAGGATTATATATATGAAATTATGTTATTATCATTATGTTAACAAATTTCTTATTTGGTGGGGGTGCTGTTATTTGTAATAGGTAAAATGGATCAAGTGAACACAACCCCGGAACCAGAAGGAACATCTAATCCTACACAAGAAATTACATGTCCACCAACTCAGGAGGTATCTTCTAATTTGAATATAACACCTGAACCTGATGTTGGACAACAAGAAGAAATTGATACAAGCATAGAACCTGCACCAAAGAAACTAAGAAGTAATGTGTGGCAAGAATTTAAAAAGATGAAAGTGAATGGGAAAGATAAGGTTGAATGCATCTGGTGTAAAAACTAACTTAGTGGCACTTCAAAGAATGGAACAAATCACTTGAAAGGATATCTCTTGAGTTGTATTCAAAAAAAGAACAAGAATGGAACACATGAAAAAGGACAACCATTTCTCCTGCCTACTATCTCAGAAGGAAAGCAAGAGTTAGGAATTGGAACTTATAATCCAGAAAATGTGAAGAAGTTGATTGCTAAAGCTATTATGATGCATGATTATCCATTATCAATTGTGGATCACATTGGTCTTAGAAGAGTCTTTGTTTTTCTCCAACCATTGTTTAAAGTTCATACTCGAAACACAATCAAGAAGAAGGTATTGAAAGTTTATGATTTTGAGAAAAAATGTGCTATGAAGATGTTAGATAGCCATGAAGGAAGAGTGGGGATTACCACAGATATGTGAACTTCAAGCAACAAAAAAAAAGGTATATGAAGGTTACGGCTCACTATATTGATGTCTCGTGGACTTTATAGAGTCGAATCTTGAGGTAAAAATGTTTATATTTTATAACTTAATTGTATCTTTTTTTTGTTATTCTTAATGACAATATGATTGAGTTTAAATATTATTATGTTGGGTTCATTTATGTTCCAGCCCCTCACACTAGTGAAAGACTTGCTAAAGCACTTGTTAATTATTTAATGGATTGGAACATTGATTCAAAGCTTTGTACGGTTACTTTAGATAATTGTAGCATGAATGACTCCATGATTAGGAAAGTTAAGGATAAGTTGCCATTAGAAAGTTTGATAAGAGATGGGTCTTTGTTACATATGTGTTGTTGTGCGCACATCCTAAATTTAATTATTCAGGAGGGGCTACAAGTGATTAAGGATGGCATAGAAAATATTCGGGATAGTGTAGGATTTTTTAGTGCTACACCTAAAAGGCATGAAAAATTTGAAGATACCGCTAGACAATTGAGAATTGTTTGAATTTTTTTTATTAATAACCATGTATTAAAAAAATATTTCGCAAATAACTGGGTTTCGGAAAAAATTACGCAAATAACCATGTTTGATATGGCTCCACAAAGAAGGAGCCATCTCAATTGGTGCATGCACCTCCTTTTTTAAGGGAGGCGCCATCTCACTTGGCGCCTAAGTGCTTAGGGCATGCCCTAAGCCAAGTGAGATGGCGCCTATGTATAAATTTAGGGCAAAAAATTTTTTTAAAATTTTTTTCCCTTTGCGTTGCCTATTGGACAGAGATCAACAAAATGGACTTTTTATTAAAAAAAAAATTACATTCAACTGTATTACATTAAAAGAACAGTAAAAAAAATGGATACAAAAAATACTGGGAAAAAAAAGATACATCAGTGATCCCCCGGAACCCGGTAATGACCCCCGGTTCCGCATCCCCGTCCTCGCCTTTCTCTTGCTGGGTGTCGTCGCGTTTCCTGCTGCGGCAAAGTCGATGGCCCAGCGAAGTCAATGCGGTCCGAATCCATAAAATCAGTAAGATCTCCATATCTCGAAGATCCGCTCTGGTACAGTCGGTTACCCATACCCTCAAAGTTTGGTCGTGTTGGCGGTGGGTGGGGTTCCATGGTTGGTCGGTAGCATTGGTCGTCTGAGTATGGGGGGTAGAAAGGAAATGGATCTTGGGGTGTTTGGTATTGTGGATGTTGGGTTGTTTGGTGATATGGTGGTTGATGGTAGGTTTGGTCGGCTTGGTCATAATCTTCCGACATTCCCATATCAGGGCTAAGGCTGGACGTTGAGGGCGCCATATTGGGATATATGGAAGACTGAAATTGTGTCTGGGGTATGTGGGTGTGCCGGTATTGTGGTTGGGTTTGAGGCATATCCGGGTATTGGTAGTTTGGTGGTGATTGTGGTTGGTAGTACGGCATTTGATTGTAGTTGTGTTGTGGTGGGGAATATGGTTGGGTGTTTGAGGGTCTGTTTCTTCTTGGGGGTTGGTTGGAGGTTGATGGGTTTTGGGTTTGTTGATGGGGAATTGAGGGTTGTGCCCATTGTGTGCGTGGGTCAACCAAGCACCTCGGATGAGACACGTGCATTTCTGGGTTACTAACCGACCTGTACCACGACATATATTGATCCGTGTGTCGCATGTTACCTTGAGTAAGGAAAACCGGGGATTGCAAGATGTAGCGGTGACGCCTTTGCCACATTTTACACCATTCCGGAGCAAAGTCTTTCCAGTTGGTAAGACCCCACTGGGCGTCGACCCTTTTAAGATGCCAGGGGGACAAATCTGTTGGATCACTTGGTATCTCTTGATGCATTCCGAACTGCATCTTCACACGGTCGATGTGGTGCATCTCCACAATGTTGAACCGAATGAGTGCAGTCTTTGCAGTCCAAGTTGTTGCATCCTCTGGGTTTGGAGCATGGCCCAAACCCAAATATGGTCTCCAGACGAACTGCGATAAAATTTAAATCAGGTTAGCGCAAAAGTAATGTATAAATAATTAAAATGAACAAAAGTTAAAAGCTACAACGTACGTCATCTGGGCCTAAGTGATCCAACAGATTCCGGTAGAGTACGACATTGAATCTTGGATTCTTGCCGTAATCCATACTCCTCACGCAGTACCTAAAGGAAATGAGAAACATGTTATTTTTAGCATATATTTTGGAAAGAGCAGAATAGTTATAAATGTTGTAACTTAATGACTTACTTTGTTGCGTACGGGAAACCAAAAGTGTTGTTGTTGATGGGGTTTAAGGACTCCATCCTCCACCAACCCCAGGCTTGTAGTAAAAATGCGCACCCATAAAATGTACATTTTTCCTTGACTGTGTTTTTGCACAAGGAACTGTATAGGTGGGCTAATATTGCAGAACCCCAACTATATTTTCTAGTTTTTTCAAAATTTGTTAGTAAATGTAAGTACATAAAATTTACACTATTTCCCGTACTTTCGGGAAATAAAAATGTACCAAAAAGTATCATAAGATACGTTCTGGCTTTTACTACTCGGTCATTCTCTGAGGAATTTTCATTTAATTCCATACTTGCATAATGACGTTTCAGGTCAGTGAGTAGTATTCCCTGCCCTCTTGCTCCACCACCTTCTACCATATCCCTACCCAACAGTTCTTCACACTGTGAGTTGGGTTGTTGAACCAACCCGTTCACCGCCTTATCGTCGATAGGGAGGCCCAGTAGCATGTACACATCCTCGAGCGTGATGGTACATTCACCTATTGGTAGGTGAAATGTATGGGTCTCCGGTCTCCACCTTTCCAACATTGCAAGAATGAACTTTGAGTCAATGGTGCAGTTGGAGATCTTTATCACATGTCCAAAACTTGTATATTCCAGATAAGGGACGATAAATGGGTCGGGAGCCAGGTAGTTGTGCGAACGGATTCTGAATCTTTTTGTGTCCTGAGATCATAATTTAACAAGTGTAAGATTAATTAAGATGAACAACACGTTATTTGAAGTATGAAAAATGTATAACCAAAGAAGAGACTTACAAATGCAGCAATGTTTTCCCTTGTGCCTCTGTGAGTATCGCCCATTGTTAGAAGAGTCATTGTTCAGAATGCTTGAGAGTATGAAAGACTTAGGAAGAGATAGAGAGTATGATAGACTTAAGAAATATTTCGTAGCAGAGAGTGAGAGTTGTGTGGGTGTGAGAGATGTTTCATAAGGTATGTATTTATAGGCAAATAAGTTTGATGTAGTGGTTGCTTGTGCTTGCATGCCTGCGAAGTTTCACATTTGCATGCTTAGGGTGTTACACATATGCATGCATGCATTTATAAAAAATGTAAGGTGTCACTCTTGCAGGCTAGGTGGCAGCCCATGCATGTATCACGATTGGACAGTAAGGGAGGCGCCATTGGACTTGGCGAAAGAGTACAAAAATGAATGGTGTCGCCACCCCATTTGGCGAATAAGAGGTGTCATTTGTTACAGCATAGGCTCAGGCTACGTGACAGCCTTTGGGATTCCTTTCTTTATTGCATGCAAGGCCATTGGAGTTGATGGGTGGAGTCTTACACAAAACATGTATGTGTGCAGAATAGGGCCAGGATAGGTGGCAGCCTATGGGGTTTCATTATTGCATGTAATATTATTGGCAGCCTTGGGGGGTTGCATCCCTTACTTAATTGAAATTTTTAGCCTTACGTTTAACATAACATTGATTCACATAATCTGTCAAATCTTCCAACCTTCGAATCAGTCATCAAACCTTCAAACATTCCAGCATTCATACCTTCATACAATCAATAAACCTCAAACATTCCAACCTTCAAACCTTAAAACAATTCTACGCAATGGCCTCTTTACCATAATTTGTTGTCAAAGCACATTTCAACGGTGAGACATACATTTGTCCCACAGTTGGGTTTTTGTTTAGAAACACCGACAACATTCGATTTCTCTTAAACGGGAAAGCCAATTTCTCGTACTTCAAGAAAAGATTGGAGGCCAAACTTGAACGAGGCCCGGTATCCCAGATATTTTATCAGAATCCAGTTTTTTTTGGAAACAACCAAGTAATTTTTTATAAGGTTGAAGTTCAAGATGACGAGGATCTACAGGACATGATTTCCAGCCATGTCTATTCTGGATACGACTCTATTGAGTTGTACGTTTTGCTTCAAGAGCCTCCGGTGACACAGGAGGTAGAGCCTCCGGTGACACAGGAGGTTGATCCTTTGGAGAATGAACAAGATGAGGTAGATGCAGTTGATGATGAAGAAGAAGATAACGAGTTAGAGTTTGATGAAATGGTGAACGATGATTCTGACGATGATGGCATCCCAAGTATTCCTACAGACAAAATCTACACACCACCTCCGCACATGACAAACTTCAACATGGGCGGAGATGAACCTTCTACTGACTTGTTTTTCCAACCGTATATGCAGTCGGATGAAAATTTAAAAGAGAAGGACAAGTTTCGTAACAGAGAGGAATGCATCAGGGCCATTAAAAAATTTCACATGCTCAACTCGGTTGATTTTAAGGTGGATCGTGTCAACCCGGAAAGGTACAAGATCAAGTGTGTCCACCCTTACTATATGTTCAAGTTGACCGCATCATACAGATTAAGGGGTGACTGCTGGGTCATAGGTTCCATGACTACCCACACTTGTGTAAGTTCCACTCAATCACAAGACCACCGGAAACTCAACCATGATCTAATATGTCGAGAAATCCTACCCCTGGTCAGCAACGACCCATCTTTGAAGGTGAAAACAATCATCTCCCACATCACCACGGTTTTTAACTACACTCCGTCTTACCGTAAGGCGTGGTTAGCAAAGACTAAGGCGATTGAAAAGGTGTACGGAAACTGGGAGGAGTCATACTGAGAACTTCCCCGCTACCTAAATGCACTCAAGACATATTCTCCAGGTAGTGTTTATGTTCTGGAAACATTGCCAGCGTACGCCCAAGATGGTAGTCTACTGCATGGAAACGAAATATTCAGTCGCGTGTTTTGGGCATTTCAACCATGCATCACAGGGTTTGCATCATGCAAACCAATTCTACAAATTGACGGGACTTGGTTGTATGGGAAGTACAAAGGCACGCTATTGATGGCAGTTGCACAAGATGGCAACAATAACATTTTCCCCGTTACGTTTGTCCTTGTCGAGGGGGAGACCGGTGGTGCTTGGAGCTTTTTCCTGAAAAATCTTCGTACACACGTGGCTCCTCAACCAGATCTCTGTTTGATCTCGGACAGACATGCCTCCATTGAAAGTGCCTATAATAATCCAGCAAATGGTTGGCATGACCCTCCTTCTACGCATGTCTATTGCATCAGGCATATCGTCCAGAATTTCTCGAGGGAGGTCAAGGACAAAACATTGAGGAAAGCGGTGATGAATGCGGGATATGCATTGACACAACCCACATTCAAATATTACCGCAACGAGATCCGTTTGTCTAATCCAGAAGCCGGTACGTGGATCGACAATATACCGGTCGAAAAGTG